ATATATATATATATATATATATATATATCTATTCAGTGATGCATATGTATTCGTATATTCACACATAATACACTACAAAGTACGTGCAATACAACAGTCTTCGTTAAATACTGCAGCGTATTATGCTGCATTTGGTCGGCTTACGTATTGCTTCCGAGTATGTATGCAGTTAGAATACATACCTACTCATATAACAGAACACTCCGTTCACCTTTCGGGGTATTTTCGTTTTTTTATTAATTCGCATATGTTGCACTGCCATTTTACCTTTTTCATTTTTTTACGTGTTCTGCAGCAAGCGCTCAAGAGCAAGGATCCCAGCACGCAATACGTCACAAAGCAGGGGGAATGCAGAAGAGAAGATTTCAGTTAGGGAAGGATGGCAATGAACAAACAGCGAACAGGCAATAAAAATTAAAAGTATATTAGTTGTTAGATTAAGGCATTTGTAACGGGACAGACCAAAGCATTAGAAGACAAGTACACGAGCAGGATGGCTGTAACGCAAGCAAATCATAGAAAAACATCACGAGAACAACGCGACCAATAATGACAAATAGCATATACTGGTAGTCTGCCAACCACACGAACCAAGAAAGATTTCAGTTCGCATGGACGGCAACAAACAAGTAAAGAAATGCGGGGAGTACAGAAGTAACCGGCCAAGCACAGCCCTGTGTTTGTTTTTAGCGGGGGACGGAGCGTAGGCCGTAAATACATTTTATGCAACCCATTCTTTTCCACAATTATTTCGTATGCTCTTTCCTTTTTAGTATTTTCCCCAATCAATTATTCCATTTATTCACTCCTTTCTCGCACCTGCGGCCATCAGTTTACTTAGTTGTACCACAGCGCCAGCGACAAGGGATGCTTTTTTAATTACTAAGGACCAGATGGAGAAATTTATTTGTTATTCGCTGTACTGGCTTTAGTCATACAGGTGGAGAGAGGACGACGTTTACAGACCGGCGATGAGATTATCCTTTTGATCGTATTACAAAGCTAGCTTTGCCAGTTAATTGGAATACACAAGCTCACGCATTTCCAACGAAATGTCTCCAGAGATGAGGAAGATGCGTGTACGGCGATTAATAGCAAACGCCTTCAGACACGATGTCCGCGTAGAATGCCGCTGGCGATCTTCTATCCCCCCGTGCCAGCCAGCCAATTACCTATGATACAATGAAAGCCAGCCAATATCGAATACAACTTCTAGTAGGTACCTTTTGCCTCCCTTTTTTCTTTTGTCCTCTCTTGTCTCGGTTGCCCTCGTAGTTCTATACGGCTGGGATGGTTTCTGTGCCGCTGAACATGAGACAGCCGAAGAGATACCATGGACCTGCTCAAGTGGAGCAAAGTCCCAGGTTCACACATCTCGACTCTAGAGATGCATGAAATGAGTCTCGACTCAAGAGATGCATGAAATGCTACGCTCGTCCCTACAGGTTTCTGCAGTGTTTAGATGTTGACTTTCGTTGCTAATCCTGAAAAAGCAGCAAATGGATTAGAGCTATCATGGACCTGCTCAAGTGGAGAAAAGTCTGAGGAGCACCCATCATGAGTCTCGACTCTAGAGGTGAATGAAATGCTGAGCTGGTCCCTACAGGTTTCTGCATTGTGTAGATGTTGACTTTCGTTGCTAATCCTGAAGAAGCTGCAGATGGATTCAGCTAGACTGGGCTATTATTCTGAGGCTTGTGCCTCTATTGGGGGTGGCGTGACAACTGCACCACATGCCTATGCTTTCCTGCCCGCCTTAACGATTAAGTGTTTATTTCAATTATCTTCCCTGTGTACTTAACTTACGTGTTTCTCCTCGATGATGTAGCATCGGCAATTTGTTGTTATGCCTTTTTCATGTTCAGGAGCTGGAAGCAATGAAGTGTCGTTTTCTATGGGAATATAGCATGAGTTGTTGTCTACTGTTTCTGTACTTTCTTAAGAAGATATATCGACTACAACGTTGCTACGCCCATCCCACGAAGCATGGCTATCGTCGTGGCTGACTCTGAATATCGCGCCAGTAGAGTTCGTAATGTATGATGTTTAGGAAAAATGCAAGCGGCAATATGAGGAATGATAGTGCAGACGTCACTCTGCACTATCAGTCCTCATATTGCAGCTGTAGTCATACAGCGACAACGGAGCGATGGAGACTGCCTTAACCAATGCAGAAGAAGGCCAACAGGATTGGATGCAAGAAGCGCCATTCCTCCCTTGCAATCGTGAGCCTGATTTCCAGTGGAAATGGGGCTCACGATTGTGTGAGCTGGATGCTTCATAATCCGTGAAGTCTCTCGACGTAATGTCAAGTCTGAAAAATCAGCCTCAGTCCCCTTTTTTTGCATTGCTCGTAGTTAAGGTGCAATACGCAGACCTTCGGGTTTAGACCCCTCAGCTCGTCTACGTACTTCTGCAGGCAAACGCTGCCTACATAAACCGAAAAGAAATCGACTACATGCCCTACAGTCTCCTGCGATGATTGTGTTGAGTTGACCCTTGCAGCTTAGCCTCTCCGAGCGAGATCGCATTATAATGAAGAGGAAAGTTCTTAAAGTTGCGGGGGGTTTTACTCTGCAGCACTGAGGACAATATTTTTCCTTTTCAGGTGGACTCAGTAGCCTTGCTGGTCAAACCGACAGATTCAGCATGTCTTCTCTGAAGTTGCCACATATATTTCTACTTGCGTGCAGGATGGTTGTCAAGGGCTGAGAAAGTGCTTAACAACAGTTGCATCCAGCGTTCGTGCATGCGAAAAGGGCGGCTTCGTTGTGCATGCATTTGGGGCTGCCGTACAGCAGTGAACGCATCTAGGCTCTTTGCAGCTCATGAGACACCACCTCCTCTCCGCACCAGACCCAAGCATTTCTGCCGCTGTACCCAGAGCGTCTGGGGAGTGGACAGGGGGCCACGGGCTCCTTGAAGAATTCTCATCTTATTCTTTTGAAAGTCTACTGGACTTTACGGACCTAAGATAAGAAGGAGAACTGTCGGTTCTCTTGGTTGCGTCACACGCTCGCTGTTGCAAGGGCGCACGACAAATACCACTCCTCAACGTGGACGGGTTGGTGCATAGTAACGATTAGTAGAGAAGCTGCTCTTCGAGAAAAGTCACTGGATACACTTCCTAAGAGCTCCTTCAGAAATTCCGCCCCATTTCAAATATCCCACAATAGATATTAGCCGGGGTCCGCCCTCCGGTGGTAAGGCAACCAATGCCTGGCCGCCCCACCGCACCGGAATAAGAGCAGAGTGAGCAGAGTCTACATTCCCTGCAAAGGAAATGCCTTCACAGCGGAAAACAATTCATGAAGAATGCCTTCTCTAGGGCGACCTTCCAGATATGACGAGTGCCATGGTGCGGGGTACTGGAGGAGTTCGTTGCTTCCTCTGGTGTTCTACGCTTGCATGTAAAATACACCTAAAGAGCTACAGTTGCTATTGGGAGCGGGTTGGTTATAAGGGGATGCGGGACATTCGCAAATGTATGCAAGCAAGTGTGCCGCTTTACCAAAGTATATTTGTCATAGGGAAGGCTCCCTATGTTCGTTGCCATATGCAATTACTTCCAGTTCGGTAAGGCAACACGGTATGACAAAGCAGAGAAAACTTAAGCAAAGGGAAAATTCCTTTGAAGTACCAGTCCTTAATTGGCAGAAGCCACTCGGAGCACCAATATCAATGGTTCATTGTAGGGCTGTCCCCAACAAAGAGACAATCTGTAAGTGTTCAACCTGCTTATAGGGAGCTATGGGGTAGAACAGTGGAGTCCGCTGAAGTGGTGGACACGTTAGCAATCAAGGAGAGAACTAACGATACTTTCACCGCCCTAGCTGAGAAGGAAGGAAACGGGTTTGAAATGGAACCCGAGATAGGTCCTTTGGATACTGGCGAACACTTGCCCTGTCTAAGGAAAAATAAGAACCGAAGGCTTCCGGCAAATCTTTTGGGGACGTTCCGACAGGCGCAGCTGTTTCTTTTGCAGCAATCAATCTCACAACATTCGAGATTGCAGATGCATGAATATAGCTCAGGAACTTGGAAAAGAGGATTCTGAGTATTCTTCCCAGGGGGACAAAGAAAAAACGATCAGCGAAAGGAATTGGCCCCCATGCAGCATGCGGCGCAGTGACGAAGACAATGGATGCTGCAGTCCCACCGGCGGATATGCCTCGGCTCAACTCAGAACTGGTCTGTGCTCATCCATGTTCGTCCAAATGGTCTGGAGCCGCTAGCGTTTCTCGACCCAGGCTCAGTTAGCCATGAGCTGAGTTGGGCGTTTTGTACTTCGTTTTCGGGCTAACGCGTTGATAGCCATAGTCAACTTACCCCCAACTTGGAGATGTCACCATACCGTTAATGCTGGCTGTCTAAAATGGTTCAGTGAATCATTTGAACTCCTGCAAACTCTCCAAACAAGAAAAGACAGCAACCTCATGGCGAGAAGGGTCAAATGGAGGTGAATGAAATCATGGACCCATGACAAACGACCCGCAAGCCCCAGCAAACGATTATGGAATTAAATGGCAAGATATTGACACACCGAGTATAACTTGGACGAAGTGATACTCGGTGTGTCAATATCTTGGCGATTTCTCACGAACATCTACAAGCACCTGTCAACTTTGCAACAACAATCGCAGGTCTACACGGGACAGCTTAAATTTGACCCGCGTGGAACCGCTTGGCGACTACTAATCGGCTACGTTCGGAGACAAATTCATATATTTCTACAGAAGTGCTCGTTAGCTTTTATTACTTTCTCGCAACTGTCTATACTATTGGGACTACCTATAGTTAGGTCGGTGCCGAGACGAACAACAATGTCATTTTTTCATGCGTTGGGGCTGGCCGGAACCTCATCAACGTGCGCACTGAAGTTGAGCGCCAGCAGATGTTGTTGGCACATATTTTCGAGTAGGTTGAGATGCACTTATCAAAGCTTGTCATCAAGCCCAGTCGAGCGGCATAGAACGAGGGGAAGCAGCAGCGACTACGCCAATCAGCTGGGTTTCCCCAACGAGATGCGGGCCGGCAGCTGTAGAAGCAAGTCAAAGCAGCATCTCCAGCTGCCGGTAGTCCCCCTTCCCCACCTCATCCCAGCTCTGCTTTCGGTATTAAGAGCTACCAAGCAAGCACGTCTGCTGCTGCTGCGTAGAGCGAGGCAGGCAGACTGCTCTGTCTGCGCGAACTGCATATCCACGCGCATGCAGGCTATTTATTGATGACGATTCTCTAAAGTATTCGTGCATGCAGAGCATGGGGCTGGGATGCGCTCTGCATGCGTAGCTGCTCTGCAGAACTAGTTGCATCAAGGGTCGATGCTGCTCAAGACAGGCTACTTTCTCTTCGCAAAAACCCCAGATGCTTGGGCCGCTGTGCCCAGGACGCCTGAAGAGTTGAAAGGGGGCCAATGGGCTTGCTCCTGAGAACGGTTGTCACGGAAGTCGTGCATGTGGAGATGCTTTGTAGCTGAAGTTGCAGCAAGGTGCGCTCTAACTCATGCCAGGCTGCCTCGCCTGCCCATTATCTGCGTCTAGCCCTTGTGAGGGTGCGGGAGGGATGCATGGAGACTGTAGGGCCGGATAAAACAGCTTTCGGGGGCTGTTATTTTTTGTATTTTCGCTCGATTGTAGCTGGTGGCTGAGGACTCACTTGTTACTATTTAGATGAAACTGGCGAGGCGTCTTCTTGATTATCATTAATAACTTGATATTTGTTTTGTTTATCGAATTAGATGAACACACGGAGGAAATTTTGTTATTAGTGCCTCGCCCAGAGTTGTAGGAGCAGCTTCAAGGTCTCCGTTCCCCTTTGCTTGTTTTCATGTGTTGGGTGGAAAAATAGGTTTTTTGACCAATTAAAAACACCAATTTATTTTTAAAACACCTAAATTTTTATTTTAAGTGGCTTATTTATCTCTTTTTACCTCTTTAGGGCGTTTGGGGAGCGGCAATCTCCTACGAATCTTCGCGTGCTGTTACTGCTGCTGCTGCAGCTCCTGCTGCGGCTGCTGCAGCAGCAAGCGGAAATTCGTCGGCCATTGGTGTTTACGTTGGCTTAATGGATTTGAAAATAAAGAGGCAAAGACAGGAGAGCGAAAAATATAGGCAAAAGAAGGACAACACAACGGAAAGGAAACAGAAAACCAGACCTGGAGGCCTACTCATTAGCGGGAGCTGAGCGCTGGCTGCTGCGGTGTTGCTGTTGCTGTTCTCGGGAATGGTGTATGTGTTTGCATCGATATGGAGTTAAAAAACTAATTAGTTAGATAACTCTAACATTAAAAGAATAAAAAAGACTATTTGATCCTTTTCCCCCTCGGTTTTCCCCCAGATTTTACCCATGAATATGCAAGCTCCCAGCTGCAAACGAGCGACGGGTAGTTTCTCTGTGCCTCCTCTCTTACAAAAACCCTCTATTTTCTTCTAGGGGATCGATCGTCTCCAGTTGCTGACGCAACAACAAAAGAAAGTGCTGCAAAGGCGGCCAGCCCCCTAAACCTACGAGCCACCGGGCTCCTCCGCGATGATGAAACAACAAACCCTAAACCCTAAACCCTAGACCCTAAAACTAAACCCTAGACCCGAAGTCCTGGAGGCCAAGCCATAAGCCCTCAACAGCACAGCCTTTAAAACAATCGAAAACCCTTTTAACAACACTCTATACACCTGATCACCAACGGCGTCTTTCACTTGCCCCACCGTTCCCCACGTCGCCTTCTCCGCGGTCAGGTACTATCTGCAGCAGCAGCCGCAGCAACAGCAGCAGGAACGGCAGCAGCTCGCACAGCAGCAGCAGCAGCAACAGCAGCAGCAGCAATCAACGAAATACCAACAGCGGCCGCGGCCGCAGCCGCATCCGCCGCAGTGGCGAAACCGCCACAGCAATAGAAGCAGCAGCAACAGGGGTATCAGCAGAAGCAGCAGCAGCAGGGATATCAGCAGAAGCAGCGGCTTTTGCGTGTTTTTTTGTTCGCTGCTGCTGCTGCTGCTCTGCATGCGTTTCCTTCTTTTTTCTCGTAGGACGCAGTTAGGGTATTGCTGCGATTCTCTTGTTTTTCTTTTGAATAGTATTGTATGAGGTTTGTTAATGCTGCGGAGCAGAGCTCCTCTTTTGTTTGCCTTGGTATAGAATCTGTCTGCTTTCTTAGTGAAAGTTGTTAGCTGCGTTTATTAATTATTTATTGCAAAAGAAGAAGAGAACAAGAAGAAAAGAAAAAGAAGCAATGGCTGCGGATGCAGCGACACAGCAGGAAGGAGACGCTGCGTCTTCTACGTCTCTACCCCCTCAACATCAAGACGAATATTCTGTATTTGCTCGTTTGTCTGGAGGAGCAGGAGGAGGAAGCAGCAGAGAAGCACAAGATGCTGCTGCTGCACATGTAGCAGAAGAAGAGGTGGCGGAGGTCGAGCTTACAAGCACAGGCAGTGCTGATGCGGCTGCTGCTGCTGCTGCTGCCGGTGCTGCTGCAGCTGCTGCTGCGGGTGGTGCTTCTGGTGCAGGGAGCAGCGCAGCAGAGGGAGCGCACCGCCTTCGGGGGAGGCATGGTCGGGGCAGCAACAGCAGCAGCAGCAGCAGCAAGACACACAACCCTGGGGGGGGCCGCACCCGTGGGCGAAGCCGCAGCAGTAGCGGCAACAGCAGCGACAACAACAGACTAGAGCGCAAGACACGGAGGGCTGACCGCAACTATCGCAACAAGCTGAGGGTAGCAAAGAAGCAGCCTCCTTTCCCCAAGCTGCGAAGGTACTTGCGACGTTGGGCAAGACGCCCTGATCTTGCTGCTCAGCTTCTTCTTACGGTTTTTCTCATCTTTATGGTTGCTTCTTTGGGGCTACGCATTGCAGCTAAAGCAAATGTTAAACTCCAATCCACGCCCCCCTTCCTTTTCATAGCGAAAGATACCCCTACATCCGCAGCAGAAGCAGCAGCAGCAGCAGCAGCGGCAGAAGCAGCGGCAAAGGCGCGTGAAGAGGCTGCTACCCCTGCTGCTGCTCCACTGAATACGCATGTGAGTCTACTAGATGAAGATTTAGATAGGATGCTGCAGGGCATAAAGAAAAAAGCAAAAGGGCTGCAGCGCACCTGGAAAAAGATCCCAGAGTGTGCAAAGGAAGCAGCAGCAGAAAATTTTTTGCCTCCAACAGATGGTGAAGCAGATGACCCCATGGCTATATTTAAGGGCATTGCTAGTGCAGCATTCAACATGACGAGGCCCCCTTTACCTGAGAGCTTTCTAGAGAAATACAAACGACAGCAGCAGGAAAAACTCAAAGAACAAGCTGATGCTGATGCTGATGCTGATACTGGCGAAGGAACAAAGACGGAGGGGCGTGCAATAGGAGGAAAAAATAGGAGAGGAATAGACAGAGGAAGTGCAGTTAAGGGAGAGACAGCAGGACACCAACAGAACAAAGACAAAAGCAAAGGAATAGACATATTGGGGCGCGGGAGATACAAACAGGCATGGAGAAAAGAAGAGAAGGAGAGAATTGCAGCAATAAAGGAAGGAAATCAATTAGATACAGAGAGTGGTGGAACTGGCGGTACGCCCGAAGAGTCATTGACTGCAGAGGAGAAGGCTCTGCAGCAGCAGCAGCTGGCGGAGAGGGAGAAATACGCCGTGACGCTGCTAACGCTGTGGTGCTGGCTGGATGCAACCCATGCTCGCTTCGAGGGTATATTAAAATCCTACGCCGTCGCAAGTGCTCGAGGAGTGTCGTGCGCTGTGCTACAGATACCAGGGCGTGCTCTTCCAACTCCTAACAGCTATAAGAACAAACCTGGAAGCCAGTTAGTTACGTATGATTATGTAATAGACAATGTGTTGTCCCAGACAGACAAGAAAGACAGCAGCAAAGACAAACAGATGAAGCATCAAGAAAAAATGGTCATTGTTCATCAGGCAGAGGATCCACAGCCTAAGCATGTAGATGAAGAAGAACCGGAAGCCGAGGAAGCAAAAATTCCTGTCGATCTCGCTAAACGCATTATCGACACTGTTACTGTCTTCAGTATATTAGAAGAAACAGACGCAAGTGTTGCTGCAGCATTTCAGCCATTGCTCGAGGCACTATCCTCAAGCAGCACAGAACAAACGCAGCAGCAGCAGCAGCAGCAGCAG